CAGCCAACCTATCTGGTTTTCATTCAAAAAACTATAGGTAATTGTTAATTTAACTTTCAGCTGTTTGTTTTTTTTTTTCGAATTTACTGCAGATAGTTATTTCAAATAATGATCATTTGGAACAACGCAGATATCTAGAGTAATTTTTTTTTTTTTAAAAAAAAAAGTTAAATCAATTGGTAAATTTTTCCCATGTCTCAAGTAGATTTTTTCATTGCTTTTACTTTTATTAACATCTTTTTTTTTTAGTGTGTGTGTTTGGTTTTTTATGCACAACTTTGTTTGCCATTAACTTTATTAATATGCTTTTGAAAGCATGCAAACTATGATTTTGTTTTAAATGAAAAGATGATATTTGACTTAGCGGGAAAAAAAAAAAACTATTAGAAAAAGTGGTTTCCTTGAAGTGGGTTTACTACTCTATTCCATAAATTTTTCATATCCTAGAATGGAAAACAAGCCGTTCTTTGATCACTTATTAATAAGTAACGCCTTCATTGGAATTTAGCTCTAGGAATCAAAGTTATGTTATCTCTGTTTCTTTTTCATTTATCTGATTTTAGTATTGTTTTATTTATTTACTTTTTACTTTTTAGGCACGAATCATTACTTGTAAAGGATATTGTTAGAATATATTTTGAACAAATTGAATGATGACTACTCGGAAATTGACAACAAGAACCTGGTTGGATTGGATTCAAACATTAAAAAAGTTAAAAAAAAGTTATCGACTGGTGTTTGCAAGCTAGGAATTTGGGGCATTGGGGGAATAGGTAAGACAACTCTTGCTATTGCTGTATTCAGAAAAATCTCTAAACAATTTGAAGCTTCTTACTTCATTCGGAATATTAGAGAAGAATCAGAAAGAAGCGGGGGATTAAATGACTTGCGCCAAAGACTTAGTTCTGCAGTTTTAGGCGATAAACATCCCAATATTGGATTCATCTTGAAAAGAAAAAGGCTTGGCCATATTCTTTTTTCTTGGCCAAATTCTTATTGTGTTTGATGATGTGACAAAATTAGAACAATGGAATTTTTAATGGAAGATTTTGGCTGCTTGGACTCAGAGTCGAATAATCGTAACAGCAAGGGATGAACATGTACTAAAACAATGTCGAGCAAATCACATACTTGAGATGGAAGGATTATTTGGTTATGATGCTTTTGAACTTTTTAATCGTTATGCCTTTCGAGGAAACAGTCCAATGGAAGATTATATTGAGCTATCATCATGGGTAGTAGCATATGCTAAAGGTCTGCCTCGTGCTCTTAAAATTTTAGGTTCCTCTCTATTTGGAAGGACAAAAAAAGATTAGAAAAGTATTCTAGAAAATTTGAAAAGAACTCCTCATATGGATATCCTTAATATATTAAAAGTAAGTTTTGATGGGCTAGATAATGAACAAAAGGAAGTATTTTTGGATATTGCATGTTTCTTTGAAGGGTGTAAAAGAGCTCTTATAGAAGAAGTCTTGGATGCCAATGGCTTTAACTCACATATTTATATAAATGTTCTCATTGAAAGGTCTCTCATAACTACATCATTCAACACCATCACAATGCATGATTTGCTTCAAGATATAGGTAGACAAATTGTTCATCAAGAATCAGCTAATAATCCTGGCGAATGCAGTAGATTGTGGGATCACGAGGAAATCTATTAAGTATTGAAGAATAATACGGTGAGGGCAAAAGACACTAATTTTTTATTTCTACTTTATATATGAGATAAAATAAAATATGAGCTTGCAGAATATTCCTTCCATTATACTCGGGAATTAGCTCAACTGGCAAAGTGATTGGGTGGGAATATGAGATGTCTTATGTTTACTTATTTTGAAAAGAAAGTTGAAAAATAAATGACAGTTTATTTTTTCTAATTGAAACTCTAGATAAAGGAATTACTTGACAGATTATGTAATTAAGAAATTTCAAACTAATTTATCATCGATCTGCTATTGATTTTTAGGGGACAGGAGCTGTTCGAAGCATAAGCTTGGATGTGTCTAAAGCAAGAGAGATACATTTAAAACCTAAAGCTTTCAACAAGATGCATAACCTAAGGTTCTTGGAAGTCTATGGCTTTGCCCGTGGTAACAAGGTACATGGTTTTGAAGACCTAAAATCTGATTTCTCTGAGCTAAGGTACCTTAGTTGGTTTAACTATTCTGCCAGATCGTTGCCACGAAATTTTAATCCAGAGAACCTTGTTGCATTATCTCTCGCAAGATGCAGTATTCAGAAGGTACCGAGTTCCCTACTGTTACAGTTACCGGCCTACCACAAACTGAAGCGGCTCAATCTGGAAGACTGTTTTATCGAAGTACTACCCAAGTACCCAACAATCTTAGCGACTTACGCTCACTGAGATTTTTATATCCTGGCCGAAACAATTTTGAGAGTCTACCAGAATTTATCAAAGACCTCTCTAAGTTGTATAAGCTTGACGTAAGCAATTGCCAGAGGCTGAAATCCTTACCGGAACTTCCAGATAAGTTACTACAGATAGAAGCAAAGGGTTGCACATCACTGGAAGCATTATCAGGTTTACCAACTCAATGCCTAAGTATGGGGACTGACAAGGAGGAAATTAGATTTATCTATTGTTGCATTCTGAAACTAGATTTGACTGATGCTCTGGGGAATATTGAGAGAAATGCAGACGTATGGTTTAGCTCTGAAGTAACTCTCTCTCTCTCTCTCATATTATATTTATACGAATTTCATTTACTTACTTTAATAAATAAAATGCTATAGAATATTTAAACTTAAGGTTAGAAGTTGATAATATTCTTGACACAGGAAAACACAACATGGCTGTCGTAACCTGCATAAGGCTTCTATATGTTACCCTGGAAGCGAAATTCCAGATTGGTTTAGCTTTACAAGTCAGAGTGGTTACATAGAGCTTCCATCAGATTGGCTCACTGATGACTTAATTGGTTTTTCTTTTTGCGCTGTTGTATCATTCCGAGACTATGAAGAGGCTGAATTACCTTTGCAAGTTCGTTCTTTTCTGGTTGTTGACGAGAAGATCGTTTCCTCTGGCTGTTTGTTTAATGATTATGGACATGAGGTTATTGACTCAGATCATGTATTCTTAGGATATGATTATGATATCAAGGCCTTGGAATTGCTTACTCTCTGTTCGAATAGCGAGGGCTACGTGGAGTTCTTTGTTGAGCATGGAAGTAAGAATAGCAGAAGAAAAACCAAGTTGAAAAATTCTATGGAGTCAGATTGTTGTACGCCAAAGATAATTATACGAGAACAGATGGAAAAGTGGAAAGAGACTGGTGATTTCCAATTATAAATGGCTGCTTGAGGTGCTATCTCCATTGCGGCGTGGAACATGATGAAATGGACGAATATATACCATTTGAAATTTTAGATAGCTGGTCCTCACATTCAGGAATTTACGAGCCACGAATAAGAAGCGATTAGTAAGTTGGATTGAATTCACGAAAATATTTCGGTTTGGTTTCTAATTTTTTTATTTATAGTTGCTATGTTATTATTTTTTTTATTGATGTAAACATTCATTATATTTCCAGTTTAATGTATATGCACTGCAAAGTGCTTGCACAATTGAATCGGAAGCGCATGGACTGGGCTACACCTATGTGAAACTTGGAGGTTGAAATCTTCTTATAGAAAAGGTAATAGTAACTCCAAACCCATGAGCCTATTATATAAAGTTATTGGAACAAGTTGAACGATTCCTTTTTACCTCCCCATAAATGATGGCTGACGCTTGTGCACTTCAGAACAGCAGGTTTCTTTTTGCCTTGGTAGGAAACCCTCCACAGGAAAATCAAGGCTTTTTACTCCATTTCTGGGCATAAGCGGAGGGAAATTAAAAAAAAAAAAAAAAAAAAAAAAAAAAAACAAACCATATAAATGAAACTCATGAAGCTCTGCGCTCATGGCAATTTATCAGCTAGCCTTCTGCAATTTATATTCACGTCCTAAGCTCTGCCGTTCTCCATTCTATTCAAGAATTGTGAAGTAGTTTTTTTTCTCATGTTATTCGTTGTGTTTTCAGACTGGCTTGATATCGTGAGCACATGCTAACGATTTAGGTGGCAACTTGGTGCATGGACACATATTCTGATGACTGTCAATCTCAATGTTTTCTGGATTTTCTTCCCTGGAATGACTACTCTGCGTGGACACATGCTGTTAATGTTTCTGGTGTTTGGTTTTCTCATTTCTGGACTATGAAACGATGCTGATGACACTTTAATTGGGTTGTAATTTGAATGTTCTGTTTTGCTTGAAACACCCGTTTAAATGAAGTTTTTGACTACCTGATTCAGATAAATATGTACTATCTACTTTTGCCCAAGTTTAGTTTTCTGGCAGTGAAATGATGTTGATTACTCTATTCACTGTTGTAAACCGCCATCACTGGTTTATTCTGATCTTCTTATGACGACGTGTTAGGTTAATTGGTTTGTTTCTTTTGTATGCCTATGGGGACCAGAACTTATAAACTGCTAAATTAACATACTTCTATCCCTCCTAAAACTCAAAGTTGTTTGGACTTCCAATCAAGATTAACACTAACCTTACGTCTGTATGTTAAAAACTACAAGATATATACACATAAGAATTTATATATGAATATTTGGCATGATCAAAATCCATGGTGAGCCTAGATGATATATAGACATTTCACTTTTGCAGGGAGGGATCAACGATCAAAGAAGTAGAAATTGTATATTGTGATTGAAATGTACATTTCATCATTAAACAGTGAGCTGAAATTTGAGTAAACATGCTTGATATTATTGAAAAAAAGCTCTCTTATGAGTTTGAATATTAAAGGAGTTGAAAGATTTACATGATTTTCCCAGGCTCTTAAAACACTAATACTCTCGTAACCTTGACATTGCACAGTCCAAAGCATCAACAAAAAAATCTGTATTTCCACAACAGAACAGTGTGATAAAACATTATGACAAAACAAATTTACAATAACAGATTCAATGGCTATGGGTAAAATCTATTTGATGAAAGGAAGCTACAGAAAGTTACCTGCATCATCTTTGGTGGTTTGATTCTGAAAACATTTCCCAACAAGAATGCCAAGCTCTGCAATTGTAACGAGTCAATGTAAAATGAGAATTAAGAGCTTTTCTCTGAAGAAGAGTTGGTTAACTGTACCTCTGAGTTTCTCAAACAAGACTGCAGTTTCAGCCTTCGTAGGCGTCTTCTCCTTCCTGTCAGTTACTAATTCTACTCCCACCATGAGTCCTCTCCCTCTCACATCTCCAATGGCTGAAACAAGATTTAATTAATGTGAGAAAAGCTGCATAATAAAATTGCAATTTCAAAGCATAAGACATTTAATCTGAGATTCTCAAACAGCTTTTCAATTGAACAAGAAAAAATACAGCGAGAGAGAATCAAAAAGCCACAGAAAACTTTCATAAGATCTATGTGAAGACTCAGATGTTTAGAAGTAGACATTGTGTGTCAGCAGCACAGAACATATTATTATTAGTCTCTATAGTAGTCATATCACACCATCATTTCAATATGATGATGTGATGTCAATTGGTGCTTCCACCAAACATCACCAAAATCCAAATGCCGTTAACAGCAGAATGATTTATTTTCAGTGTCGCATGAAAACCTATAGAAACAAAATAGATCCACAATTGGGTTTTTCACTCATATACATATTCCTGAGGAGCTTAGTTCATATAATTCAGGAGAGGAGTAGAAAGAATATGTGCGCATGCTGGCACATACACACTAATTCAAAGTCTTAGAATGACTGTAATAAGCTTACTCAGAAACTCTGTTTACGACATTTGTTTACATGATATAAAAAATATGGTTAAATAGCCCAGGTCTTGCCAAATTTGCAGTTCAATTTAATGTAAAGCAAACACAGTCAATTAAGGGGAAAAAAAAAAAAAAACTCTGAGAAGTTACTAGTTCAAGAATAATTACTATCATGTCTCTCTTGTAGAGCTCTCAAGCATCCAATTAGGTGAGAACCAATGTCAGCACAATGTGCTTGACGCTTTTCTTTATCGATAACCCTGAGCACCGCAAGCCCACCAACAGAACATACGGGGTTTCCACCAAAAGTGTTGAACTGAATCTTCTGAGCCATTACACTAGCTATCTCCGGTGTTGTCACTACAGCTCCTAATGGCAAACCATTGCCAATTCCCTGGAAAATCATAGTATCGTAATGTAAATGAATTATCTAAATAAGAACCATAAGAGGGAAAAAAAATACTAATTAAATTGGCGATAATATTGAAAAAGACTAATTGTTTATGTATAGGGCAACATTAAGAACTCAAGGGATTATCATCAAAACCTTCGCCATGGTTAGTATGTCGGGAAAGACCCCTTGTGTCTGAAAGCCCAGTAGTGGCTTCCAGTGCGACCAAATCCAGTTTGCACTTCATCAGCAATGCAGACACCACCAGCCTTGCACACAATGTCATAAACATGTTTTAAGTACCCAGGGGCCAATTCCACTGCTCCACCAAACTCCCTAAATTTAGGCAAAACTTAGAAAAAGGGAAGTGCAATTTTTAGAGACCAATTCAGGGCTGTTGAAAGCACCAAATTTATATATACCTTTAGGGACAACTATCAATCAAAACCTGAATGGCAGCTATAAAACCAGCAACTTTTCCTGAACTTCCAAAATCAATGTGAACTTGTACGTCTTTGGCATAAAGGACCGCGTTCGAGCCAAAGATTCCGCGGCATGGATCTGGATTTACAACATCATGGCTTTCACCCTGATTTCACCCTGCAAAGTGGCAGGTCAGTTTATGAACACAGGTTGAATTTCATCCAAAAAAAATCACAGTATAACAGAAATAATGACATCAAGTGCTACACTCGAGAGCAAACCTTTAGGTTTCCAGGTTTTTTTTATGCTAATGCCTCAGCAAAGTCAGCTATAGCATGGTGTAGTTATATAGTCGTTGCATGCTATAGAAGATTGTTTTGCTTTGTAATGATTGTTTTGCTCTGTAATAGCATTCAGGATATCAGGATGGCAATGCCCACAAGACACAGTAACTATTCCAGCAAAAGCATCCAGGTACCGCTTCCTGCTCTCATCAAACAAGTATTGCATTTTCCCTTCAACAACATTGAGCTGTACACCAAAACAAAACAAAAAATAAAATAAAATAAAATCAGCTAATCAAACAAGGAACAGCAAAAATAAAGAATAACCAATCATGCAATAAACTTGGCTTAGTATTTGCATACAACTTTGCTTTACAAACCAAACATTACAAAAATTTAAACAAGTTCACGAAAATTCAGCACACTCGTGTCACATAGATATCCCATTTCTGTTCAACAATATTAACAATAACTCAAAAACAATAAATGACTAATTGGATTCTTTGATAAAAAGTGATAATCAAAGCAGAAATTAAGTAATAATGCAACTCTCTTAACTTCATATCTGGTATGCTTATAAAATTAACCAAAATTTTATGACTCAAGTTCATACAAAGGCCCAAAACAAGATCATAATACATCAATATACTTCACCTAAATAGGTTCACTTAGGCTTCATCACAGCAAACAACAAATAATTATAAACAACACAAATTAGAAAAGATTTCTCCTTTTAAGCAAAAAAATGCATTTTTAGTTCATAAACAAGATAACAAGCCATGAACTAAACAAATCCATTCGACAAAAGCAAACTACTCTTTGTCCTTCAAATGCAATTTAAAAAAAAATTAAAAAAAAAAAAAACCACACTTAAGTAGAAGCAGTTAAGCTCCATAACAACTAATAATCACAAACAACACAACTTAAAAAGAGTTCAACTTTAAGATAAAGATCATATTTTCAGCACAAAAACACTAAAAATTGACTATTTTGAAACAAACGCATTTCCCAAAAAACACAAAAACTTACAGGCTTTTGACAGTAGTAGAACAGAGAAGGACCCAAAAAGCGCTTTCTTTTCTCAGGAACTTGCTCAGCAGAAGGACCCAAGTAAGGCTGCGGCTGATAATCCAAGGGCGGCAACTGGGGCGGCAAGGAAGAAGAAGAATCATCGTCACCAGGAACCGCAGAGACTCCTCCTACAATTCCCATAAAGCACCAGCAATTTCTTTAAGATTAGCTTCTCCAAAAACGCCATTTAAAAAAAAAAAATTGAGAAAAAAAATTAGAAGATAAATTTGTTAAAAACTTAAAAATCAACAAATATATTATATATTTTCCATTATTTATAAGTTTAAAAAATTAAAAGTAGAGAATTAAATAATTAAAAAACTAAGAATATATTCTAATATTATTTATAAATTTAAAAATATTTTTAAAATTAAACCTGATAATGAAATAAATACAAATATATTTTACAACTATCTAAATTACTATTTTCTTTTCGTTTCTTTTTCTAATTTTCTTTTTTTTACGTTGTTTAGATATTTAATTATTTTTAGTTAAATCTGAATTTATAATTTTATAAATATTTTAAGTTTATAAATACTCATTAAAATATTGGGAATTATTGAATTACATTTTTACCCTTCTTGAGAGTTAAATCTAATATTCTTTAAATGAATTTGTCCTTTTTCTGTTTGTTTTAATTTTTAAATAGAACTTCTGTAGTTTCTTAATTATTTTATATAAAAAATAAAAAAAAGTGTATGCAAATTAATATTACTCCTAACATAATATTTTGTTTTCTTAAATTTTTTTTTTTTTTTATCAATATTGGATATTAGGTAAGACAATGGTGGCCGGAATCCTTGGAAGACTACTCCATTAGTGTGGGAATTTTCCTAATGTAAAAGAAGTTCAAATGAGAGATTTAGTTGGTGAATACATTGGTCACATTGAATTAAAGATTAGGGAAAAGGTACAGCACTTTGCTTTTCATATCATATGTTTGATGAATTTATAATAAATGTACAAACTAAATATACAAATTCTTATATCAGACTGATGTCGTACAACTCTTTTACAGCCATTTGATGAATCTCTATATCCTCTCTTTTACTTTTTATATGTTACCTGCCAAAGGCTTCTATATGTTACCCTGGAAGCGAAATTCCGGATTGGTTTATCTGTAGAAGTCAGACTAGAGACTTTCCATCAGATTGGCTCAATGATAACTTAAATGGTTTTGCTTTTTGTCGCTGTTGCATCATTCCGAGACTATGAAGAGGCCGGAACTTCGCAAGTTCGTTGTCATCTGTTCGTTAACGAGGTGATCGTTTCCGCTGGCTGTTTGTTTAATGGATATGGGCATGAGGCTATTGAATCAGATTATGTATTCTTAAGATATGATTATGATATCATGGCCTTGGAATTGGAATTGCTCACTGAGAGTTTGAATAGCGAGGGCTACATGGAGTTCTTTGTTGAGCATGAAAGTAAGAAAAAGAAGCAAGGTGAAAAAGTGTGGAGTCAGATACGAGAACAGATGCAATAGTGCAGAGAGACTGAGATTTCCAATTACAAATCGCTGCTTGAGGTGCTATATCTCCATTGCTGCGTGGACCATGATGAAATGGACGAAAAAAAACCATATGAAATTTTAGATACCTGGTCACCACATTCAGAAATATACAAGCCACCAATAAGAAGGGATTAGTAAGTTGGATTAAATTCACGAAATATTTCGATTTGGTTTCTAATATTTGATTTATAGGTGAAGCATAACTAACTTTTTATTTCAAAAGACAAAAAAAAAAAAAAGAGAATTAGACAATGATCATAAGTCATAATGCATGGAAAATGATCTTGCATTATTTATTTGCATGTAGAAATAACATATGGCTATGTTGTTATTATTTTTTTTTTTTATTTGATTTAAATATTAACTGTATTTTACAGTTCAACGTATATCAGGTGCGAAGTGCTTGCACGCCATGAGCATCGGAAGCGCATGGACTGGGCTAGACTTTCGCCAAACTCGGAGGTTCGACTCTTCTCAAAGAAAAGAAGGTGATGTAACTCCAAACCCATGTAGCTTATTATATAAGGTTATTGGAACAACTTGAATGATTCCCTTTTACTTTCCCATGTCCCTCCGGTGGTAAAATGATGGCTGATGCTGGTGCAAATTCAGCACAGCAGGTTTCTTCTTGCTTTGGTAGGAAACACTCCACAGGAAAATCAAGGCTTTTTACTCCATTTCTGGGCATAAACGGAGGGAAATTTTTTTTAAATACATATATATGAAACTCATGAAACCCTAAGCTCATGGCAATTTATCAGCTAGCCTTCAGCAATTTATATTCATGTCCTATGCTCTGCTACTCTCCATTCTGTTCAAGAATCATGAAGTAGCTTTTCTTCTTATGTTATTCGTTGTGTTTCAGACCGGATTGATCTCGTGTGCACATGCTAATGATTTAGCTGGCAACTTAATGTTTCCTGGATTTTCTTCCCTGGAATCAAATTATGTTAGCGGACTACTGTGAGTGGACACATGCTGTTTCAATGTTTCTGGTGTTTGGTTTTCTGGACTGTGAAAGGAGGCTGATTGCACTTTAATAGTGTTGTAAGCCGACATTATGTGAATGTTCTGTTTTGTTTGAAACACTAGTTTATTGTAAACTTGAAATTTTCCTGATATTTCTGCCTTCTGAGGCTGCTTTCGTCTTTTATTTTGCGTTATCAGATTTGTTTCCAGATGGTTGGACTTCTTATCAAAATTGCATTCAATATTATCACAAATATTTCCAGATTTCTACATAATCTTTTACTGCCGAACGGTTTTTCTGTTGCTCTTCAATAAAGTTACTAATCTACTTTGGCTGAAGTTTGGTTTGCTGGCAGTGAAATGATGTTGATTACTCTTTTCACTTTCGTAAACTTCTATCACTGGTTTAATCTGGTCTTCTTATGATGTTGTGTTTGGTTAATTGGCATGTTTCTTTTGTATGGCTATGGGACCAGAGCTTATAAACTGCTAAATTAACATACTTCTATCTCTATTAAAACTCAAATAGTTAGGACTTTCAATCAAGATTGCATTCAAGATTATCACAATCATTCTCCGAAAGATGTATATAGATATTGCCAATCTTTTTTACAGAGGCACGTGCGTATCAAAAGTCAACAACTAGTCATTAGCTTCAGCAAAACCAAAACAGCTACCAAATTAACACTAATCTTTGGTCCGTATGTTAAATCTACAAGATATATACACATAAGAATTTAGATATGAATTTTTCACATGATCAAAATCCATGGTGAGCCTAGAAATATTGTGAAATAATATACATTTCATCATTTAACAGTGAGCTGAAATTTGGAAACATACTTGATATTATTGAAAATAAGCTCTCTTAAAGAGTTTGAATATCAAAGGATTTGGAAGATTTACATGATTTACCCAGGCTCTTAAAAGACATACTCTCATAACTTTGACATTGCATAGACCAAAGCATCAACAAGAAAATCTGCATTTCCACAACAGAACAGTGTGATTAAACATTATGACAAAACAAATTTACAATAACAGATTCAACGGCTACTGTTAAAATCTATAGGATGAAAGGAAGCTACAGAGAGTTACCTGCATCATCTTTGGTGAAACACATTGGTGGCTTGATTCTGAAAACATTTCCATGTAGTCCACCTTTCCCACCAAGAACACCGAGCTCTGCAATTGCAATGAGACAATGTAAAATGTTAATTAAGAGTTTTCATCTGAAGAAGAGAGTTGGTTAATTGTACCTCTAAGTTTCTCAAACAAGACTGCAGTTTCAGCCTTTGCAGGCGTCTTCTCCTTCCTGTCAGTTACTAATTCTACTCCCACCATGAGTCCTCTCCCTCTCACATCTCCAAAGACTGAAACAAGATTTCATCAATGTGAGAAAAGCTGCATAATAAAATTGCAATTCCAAAGCATAAGACATTTAATCTCAGGTACTCAAACAGCTGTTCAATTGAACAAAAATAGATACAGCGAGAGAGAATCAGAAAGCCACAGAAAACTTCGTCAGATCTATGTGAAGACTGAGGATGTTCAGAATAAGTAGACATTGTGTATCAGCAGCACAGGACATGTTATTATTAGTCTCTATAGTAGTCATATCACACCATCATTTCAATATGATGATGTGATGTCAATTGGTGCTTCTGCCAAACATCTCCAAATGCCTTTATAAGAAGAATGATTTATTTTCAGTGCCGCATGAGAACCCATAGAATGAAAATAGATCCAGAATTGGGTTTTCCACTCATATACATATTCCTGAGGACCTTTTCCACTCATATACATATTCCTGAGGAGCTTAGTTCATAAATTTTTGGAGGGGAGTAGAAAGAATATGTGCGCATGCTGGCACATACACACTAATTCAAAGTCTTAGTATGACTGTAATGAGCTTACTCAGAAACTCTGTCTAGGACATTTGTTTACAAGATATAGAAAATATGGTTAAATAACCCAGATCTCGCCAAATTTGCAGTTCAATTTAATGTAAAGTCAAACACTGTCAACTGAGAAAAAAAGAGGGAAAAAAAAAATACTCTTGAGAAGTTTTTAGTTCAAGAGTAATTACTATCATGTCTCTCTTGTAGAGCTCTCAAGCATCCAATCAGGTGAGAGCCAATGTCAGCACAATGTGCTTGACGCTTCTCTTTATCAATAACCCTGAGCACCGCAAGTCCCCCAGCAGAACATACTGGGTTTCCACCAAAAGTGTTGAACTGAATCTTCTGAGCCATTACACTAGGTATCACTGGTGTTGTCACTACAGCTCCTAATGGCAAACCATTGCCAATTCCCTGGAAAATCATATTATCGTAATGTAAATGAATTATTTGAATGAGAACAATAAGAGGAAAGAAAAAAAACTAAATTGGTGATAATATTGAAAACGGATAACTGTGTATGTATAGGGCAACATCAAGAACTCAAGGGATTATCATCAAAACCTTTGCCATGGTAACCATGTCGGGAATGACCCCTTGTGTCTGAAAGCCCCAGTAGTGGCTTCCAGTGCGACCAAATCCAGTTAGCACTTCATCAGTAATGCAGACACCACCAGCCTTGCATACAATGTCATAAACATGTTTTAAGTATCCAGGGGCCAATTCCACTGATCCACCAACTCCCTAAATTCAGTCAAAATTTTGAAAAAGGGAAGTGCAATGTTTAGAGACCAATTCAGGGCTCATGAAAGCACCAAATTTATATATATCTTTAGGGGCAACTATCAATAAAAACCTGAATGGTTTCAGCAATAAAACCAGCAACTTTTCCTGAACTTCCAAAATCAAAGTGATCTTGTACATCTTCCGCATAAAGGGCCACATTCGAGCCAAAGATTCCGCGGTATGGATCTGGATTTACAACAGGATGGATTTCACCCTGCAAAGTGGCAGGTCAGATTATGAACCCAGGTTGAATGTCACTCTTAAACATGTTATTTATTTTTTCGTTTCATCAAATAAACAAATAAAGAGAATAAACTAAGTATATGTGATACAAATCAATTTACTCTTCAGTAAAAATATTCAGAAAACTTGCTACAGTTATGGGTGTGTGTCAGAAGACAAGACTGAAGAAATAAGCATGCCACGGCCAATATTTGTGAAGTAAGCTCTAATTCACACCCCATGTTAACATTGTTGGATATTTACTAAACCAGCTTACCCTTAACATTGCTGAATATTTAGTAAACCAGCTTACACTTGTGACAAGTGTATGAGAGAAGAAAGAAATGTTATTAATCCCTATTGTTCCTGAGATGATAAGCTTCACACTATGTTGTCATTCCAAACAATTCCAGATATCAAAAGTTTGCCAAACAAAAAACCATGTTAAATACATATCCTCCGAACATATAGAATGTCGACAAACCTGTGGTATGGGGTACTTCCACGTGTTTAGGGCAGTCAGTCCAATTGTATTGGAGCCTCCACCATGATAAGCATTTCTTAGGGCAATCATGCTGAGATTACCACTGTAAAGTCTAGCCATCAACATTGCTACTTCATTTGCTTCTGTCCCAGAATTGACGAAATACACAACCTGCATTTCAAATCTCAAAGTAACTAAAGACATTTACATTGTCATCATAATGTTGTTATTAAGTGGCCATCTTAATGTGTAATGTTATAAAATGAAAATCTCATCCAAAAAATATCACAATATAACAGAAAGAATGACATCAAGTGCTAGACTCAAGAACAAACCTTTAGGTTTCCAGGCATTTTTTATGCTAATGCCTCAGCAAAGTCAGCCATAGTATGGTGTAAGTATATAGTCATTGCATGCTGGAGAAGATTGTTTTGCTCTGTAATAGCGTTCACGATATCAGGATGGCAATGCCCACAAGACACAGTAACTATTCCAGCAAAAGCATCCAGGTACTGCATCCCGCTCTCATCAAACAAGTATTGCATTTTCCCTTCAACAATATTGAGCTGTACACCAAAACAAAGAAATAATACCGGCTAATCACAACAGGGAACAGCAAAAATAAAGAATATCCAATCATGAAATAAACTTAGCTTAGTATTTGGGTACAACTTTGCTTTACAAACCAAACATTACAAAAATTTAAACTAGTTCATAAAAATTCAGCACACTCTTGTCACATAGATAATCCATTTCTCTTCAGCAATAGTAGCAGTAACTCAAAAATGATAAACAACTAACTGGATTTTTTGATAAAAAGTGATAATCAAAGTAGAAATTAAGCAATTGTCCAACTCTCTTAACTTCATATCGAGTATGCTTATTAAATTAACAAAGAGTTTTATGACTCCAGTTCATACAAAGGCCCAAAACAAGATCATAGTACATCAACATACTTTACCTAAATAGGATCCAAAAAGCGCTTTCTTTTCTCAAGAACTTATTCAGCAGAACGACCCAAGTAATGATTAGGCTGATAATCAAAGGGCTGCAAGGAAGAAGAAGAATCATCATCTCTTGGAACCGAAGAGACCTAACAGCAGATCCTCCTATAGTTCCTATAAAGCACTAGACCTGGCAAACGGGCGGGTTGGGCGGGTATGGTCCGGGTAGCAACGGGTCACGGGTTAACGGGTGAAAAATTCTCACGGGTCGACATTTTTATGATCCGTACCCGCCCGTGTGGACGCGGGTCACCCACGGGTCACCCGTGAAAATGGAAGCAGCTTTTTACATTTTTCATATTTTTTACTGTTTTCCATATTAAACTTATTAGTTATTAACTTATTATATTAAATAAATCGATGATTAAAATAAATTTGATTAGATTTCACCAATATTATTAATTCAATATTAATATTTTTCATATTTATATCAAAGTCCACCATATAGATAATAGAATTAATAAACACTAAACATACATAGTAATTACTAATTAGTAAACACTAAACATATAAAATTGTTTAACATTCAACATACCTTAAACATCGTAAACACTAAATATTAAACGTATATAATTGTTTAACCAAGTACCAAACACACTAAACAAACAAAGCCTCCCTTGATTATGCAATCTCCTTCCCCCGCCCTTGACTATGGCACAACCAGCTGAGCATCATCAATTTCATCTTCTACAATTAACAAGATATAAGTTAACTATCGTAATTATTAACAAACAAAATATTAAAACATGTGAAATATAAGTTAAAATGTTACCTTTAACTCATACAGAAATCCATGTCCTGGTGCATATCAAAGACTCTGCATTCTCCGGTAAAAGTAAACTTCGATATTTACTGAGCACTTTGCTACCAATACTGAAACTGGATTCCGAAGCAACAGTCGTTATTGGTATACTCATCACATCACGGGTCATCATCGAAGTATCGGATACGATCACTATTTTTCTTCCAATGGTCAGGACATCCAAATGCAAAATTTGATGCGATCAAATCTTGCCTCTCCCAAAAAAGTATCCAATTCGGACTTCTTAGTAGCACTAAAGTCACTCTTGTAGTAGTCAAATTCCTGCACCATTTAAATAGTTAAATTTAATAAAGCAAAATTACAAAATAAAGAAAACTTATTAATCACAGAATATAAAAATATTTGGGATGATTGACTTACACAGATATCATCTCCAATGATATGAGGATTACTAGCTTGTCCGCAATATCTCCAGTGGGAACCTCATGGCCACTAGACTCTCATAAGCAGCAAAAAGCCTATACAACTCCTGTTGCACCAACTCCAACTTCTTGTTGCAACTACGGGCCATCAACTTTTTTGTAACAAAACTCAACAAACTCAAACTTGAAACGTGGGTCCAGAATGTTGAATTGCTACACAACTGTATAGAATCCCAATATTTGTCAAATTTCCTTTCATTGACTTGCCATGGTACTAAGAACTTCATCCTCATTTTCCATCTCTTCGTATAAACGCACTTGAATTCTCCACCATTCTGAGATACAAGTTTGCTGTGGGGTACTGGGAACCCGAAAAAAGAGTAGTGATCTCATAAAATGGTTGCAAGAACTTGCAATCCTCTCGCCCTTATCCCATCTTCATTTGAAGGACAACTTTATAATTGGGATCTATCAGTGCCAAATGAACAAACACACGACGGTATATTAAGCACTTTCAAGCATTAAATAAGTGGAATTCCATCTCGTGGGAACATCAGTTCGTAATCCTTTTGAGCTTATTACACCAATTTGTTTGACAAGTTCTCCAAACTTCATTTTTAGCCTCACTTCCTTTAACATATTTCACATTTCACGAATTTTATGCAAAGCCACGCTACTCACCTTTAACCCTTCTTGGACTATCAAATTCAAGATATGTGCACAACATCGCACATGAAAAAAAGAACCATCACATAATAAAACATTTACAGACAAAGTTGACTCCTTAAAATGTCTTCCATTTTATCATTATTACGCATTGTCTAATGTAAGAGAGAAGACTTTCTTTCAATCCCCAATCTTTAAGAAATCATACACTATGTCTGACAAAAGAGCCCCTGAGTGTGGAGGAGGAATATGGCTAAAATTCAGAATTCTACTCTGTAACTCCCAGTCTATCAACATAGTGAGCGTTAAAGAATATACCCATCAGTAGTACAAGAACTCCAAATATCAGAAGTCAAGCATATTCTACCCGAAACCCTCTAAAGCAAGCTTATCCTTTCCTTCTCCCTGTAATATATCTTTAAGTAATCTGCCTTAGCGGTGTTAGTATAATGTTAACTTCATGATTCAATACATATGGACATCCCTAATTCCTTCATGCTCCACTATTGAATATGGGTATATGTTTTATGATTCCTATTGCCATCTTCTCACGAAAATTTCTTGAGAAATCTTCAAACGTCTCAATTTAGTGTCACAATCCATCATCATTTGATCTACACTAGTAGTAATGGTACGTTTAGGACAACCTTCCATATGGCGCCTCATATTCTTAGTCCCATGACTGGAACTACCATGTGCATAAGACTTACCACAAATCGAACACTTTACCCTCACTTCCCCATTATCTTCTGTATATGTTGTAAATTGACCCCAAACATCTGAAACTTTACGTCTTTTTGGACAAACAGTACTACCAGTAGAAGGAAGTTGACCTACGGCTACATTACGACCCATTCCTAAATCTGTAGAGTCCTCTATACCAAGCCAATCTAAAGGACACAACAAAGTATTTACATTTAAATTAATTAACCAATCATAATTCATAACAATTCGTCAAAAAAAAAAAACAATCCCATATATTTTACAAGCAAAAAGCCCTACCAAATGACTGGATTTTTCCAACTCAACAATCAACACCCTCAACTCCAATAAGTATAACCAATATAATTCATAACAATTCATCCAAAAAAAAAAAAAAATTATAAAAGAATTTAAACATGATTACTTACTAATAATCTAATATGTTGGGTGCACAATCAGAAATAGAAAATATATTTGATAAATATTAAAAAAAAAATTGTCAAATAAATAAAATATTCTATAATAACACGTTGGATTAATGTATACTTTGTCCAACTTTTAAGGAGATCCCTAATTAAACTATAACCATTTGGGTTCCGAGTGTTAATTACTTCATTTCTTATCAAATTATATTGTAAAATGGGGCCCCTTTCTATTTTACCTCCAATCTTTTGGATCTATTTTAAATTAAATTAGACCAACTAATGATAGAGTTCAAGTGTCCAAGGAGAAAATGTGAATAAAATCTAATATGAAAATGTAAACACAGCATCTAAAGCCTTAATTTGGCATTTCTTGATTGAAACTAATATGATATGTTAATAAATACATTGTTTAAGTAGTTGATGCACATGTACTATTATTTAACAAGTAAA